CCCATACAGGTTTGTCTGTCAACCATTTTAAAGGTAGGGCTGTTGGTGCCTTTGGTGGATCAGCAGCTCTTGTGTTCTGTTCTTGCACAAACTAAATGGATGGTGCTTGTACTTTATAATATCTTCTAATATTTTTCCCCAGACATATATGTTAACTTATGGTTTGTTTCTGAGATTGGGGGAAGTTAATCTGAGTATTCCATTGCTCTAACAAATCAAGTTCCCACAAATTCATTGCAATATTAGCCACATGTGGTTTTAGTATTCCTCTCTGTCCTTCTGCACCTATACATTGACCCACCTTACTCTGTTTTACCTAAGATAAAGTTCCAATCCTTGATGGGGGGATATCCTTCTGTATATATGTTTCTCTTATTGGGTGATGAATAAAACACTGGCCAATAGAGGTAGGAATCTAGGCGGGATTAGGAGATGAGGAGAATTCTGGGAAAAGTAGGCAGAGGGAGGCCACGGTGCAGTGAGACACTATGTGGCTGAAGGAGTAACATGCTGGATTTTGGGTAAGCCACAGCCTTGTGGCAATACATAGATTAATAGAAATGGGTTAATAATTAAAACAGAGCTAGCCAATAAGAAGCCCTAGCCACTGGCCAACAGTTTAATAATTAATATGTCTCTGTGTGCTTATTTGGGACCGAAGGGCAGTGGGACCTGGCAGGACAAGAAAAATTCCAGCAACAAATACCAAAAAGTTGAACATTTACCTCCTGAAGAGGGCTCAGTGCTTAACTAGTATGGCTGCTTGTATTAAAGGTGTGTATCACCACTGTCTGGCTCTATGAATGTGGCTAGCTTTGCATTCTGATCTCCAGTTGCTTTATTAGATTATAAACAATATATCACCACATATAAGAATTTAGGCTCAGCTGAGGGCTATGCTGATGTCTGTGGCCTGTGTTACCTGGGAGTCATATTGATGTCTGTGACCCATGTTACTACCAAAAGTGGGGCTGATGTCTGTTTTCCATGTTGCTGCCTGAAGCCAACATGGGCTGGGCTTATCACTGGGGACCATATTGGTGTCCATAGCCCATGTTGCCTAGGACGCCTTGTTATTGTCATTGGGCTATGCTGTCAAGGGTTATGATGGTGTCCGTGGCCTGTGCTGTGGTGTGGCAGAGGGCTGTGTTGATGTTCATGGTCTGTCCTGTCACAGATCATGCTGAGGCCCATTGCACATGCTGTTGCTGGACACCGTATGGATGCCTGTGATCCGTGCTGTTGCCAAAACCTATGATGTATAAATCCATGATCTGTGATCCTGTGACTGAAAAGAACAAGGAAACTACTTTTACAGTGTTGGTAATGACTGCAGATTCACAGCTGAGAAAGAAGGACATAGAAGGCTTCTGTGACAATTCCTATCCTCCTCCCACCAAAAAGTAACAGCTTATACAGAAAGCTATGTAAGAGAACTCTTAAAGGTTCTGATAAGGGTGTTCAAGTGTAGCAATCCACAATTGATGCCTTCTGGTAGGGCTGCAGGTGGAGAAGAACTGTTTTCTTTAACTGGAGTTTGACCATGCTCCCGTGGGTATGTGGCCATTGCAAACTGTACTTTTTTTTTCTTTTTCTTTTTTTGGGGGTGGGGTTACAAGGATGAGGAGTTAAAAAATTAAAGAAAAAAGAATTTAGGCTTCCTGTGATTCAGTTTAAGAATATTTATTCCTTGGACTTTGAGCAGAAATTTTGGGAGGGCTGTCAAGATGGCTCATCCAGTAGAAGCATTTGCTGTACAACAAACCTAACAACCCGAGCCTCAGCCTTCAGAGCCATCATGTAATGGTGGGAGAGAGCCAACTCCCAGTTGTCCTCTGCCCTTCACATGTTGACTGTGGCATACTGTGCCCATATCCACATATACATCACACATGCCACACATACAGACACAAGTAGAAAATTTGAAGGTAAGGGTATTTAATTAAAATTTTCTACGTACAAAGAAGCAAGGTTAAGGCCATTGGAACCTCACTCTGCACAACCCTTTGTCAGGGTTCAGCCACATAATCCAGGCAGGGCTACAGAAAATCAGATTTGGGGTATAAAGGGACAAGAGGGCTCTTGGTGGCTTCAGCACAGTACTGAATGTATACAAATTTACTCTGATCCCTTTGCTTAAGTTATATCCTGTATTAGAGTGAGTGAGTATTAGAATAATATCCTTTCTTGGTTGGGACAAGAGTCTTTCTGTATCTGCAATAGCCAGCTCAGGCCCTTTCATGCTTGGTCTGTTGAAGGGAAGCAAAGATGAGCATTTTCTAATTCAGCTTGTGCATGTTTGCTATCTTCTCCTTTTGTAGTGATCTCCTAACCCAGATCCCTGCTGTTCCTTGTCCTGATTTTATCATTGGGAGGAGCTGACCACACTCAGGGACTCAGTGCTGTGAGTGGAATCAGCTTGCTCTTGCTCTCAGATTTCTGCCTTCTGTGCCATCTGGGCGCCCTTGTGCACAAGTCCCAAATTCTCCCCCAGTTCAGTTCCATTATGGGAGCAGGTGCTGAGAGAAAACTGGGTAACCCAGTAATAGAAGGTCTGGTTTTTCTTAGTGCAAGGCCTTTGATTGCCATGGTCTGTGTCACCGAGCAGGCAGGACTTTATTCAGTGTTGTGGCATGTTGGGTACTTTGCAAAAGTTTGTTGATTGTCAAGACAGATCTCTTTCTTTAGTGTTTCTTCAGTTGAACTTAGAGGTGGTTTTTATTCCTCACTGACATAAATGTATATTGAAAACACAGTGTAATGAAACTTGGTACTTAAAAGACAAGACATGGGCATTCATATACTACATTAAAGGTAGGATTTGTAAAATAAGATTTCTCTGCTGCCTCTGTATCAGGCTCTGTGATAGCTGGACTTTATAGGAGAGGGACTTACTTCTATTTTCATTTAGTCAGTGATGTCTTTTTTAAATATTTATTTTATTTGCATCGATGTTTTGTCTGCATGTATGTGCTGGGTGCTTGTGAAGGTGCCAGAAGAAGGCATTGGATCCCCTGGATTGGAGTTAAAGATGGTTGTAGGCAACCATATGGGTGCTAGAAATTGAATGTTGTTTCTCTGAGAGCTGCTGGAGTTTTTATTAACTGCAGAGCCATATCTTTAGCCTAAGTGATGTCTTTTTGATTCCAGATATGAATGAGCTTTGCTCACCAGTGTTGCCTCCCACACCTGAGACAGAGAATCTTAACTGTATAGCCCAGACTGGCCTGGAATTCAAAAGTCTTCTTTTTCAGCCCCTTGAGTCCTAGCATTAAGGGCAGGCGCCATCATGCCCAGCAGGTGATGCTCCCTTCTTGAGTGCACTCCTCCTCTCTCTGCTTGATCCATGGTCACTCTCATTTATGAATTTTAGATAAATTAGGCAGTTTTGTCCTCAGAACAAATATGTGTGAAGAGATAGTCACTTCCACATCTGTATTTTGTAGAAGCTATGTAAGCAGTAAATTCCAGGCCACTTCTCTTTATAGCCTGATTTCTTCTCTATGCCTAAGGCTTGAAATTTAAGTTTAAATATAGTATATGACCTTAAGAGGATTGAAATCTCTACCATCTTGTTCTGAAATCAGGCAATCAAATATTTATTTATAATCTTAGTTCATTTTGGAACATGAAAGGTTTTACTTACTGTGAATGTTAAAATGAGCAGAGTGGAAGAAAGACATGAATACAAGCCATTTCCATTAAATGTTTATCTCTAGAAGTTAAATGCGAACAGCAAACTTCTCATTTTAGACAGACTATTTCATGAAAGGCAAATGGACCAGGATAGGTACAAATCTAAGAATGTTGAATACTAGGACCCAGCCCAAATTAAGAACACGAAACTCCAAATAATGTTACGTAGGAACTGGTTCCTTACAAGAGTTTGATGAGATGGAGGAAGCATCTTAAGGGCTCTACATGCTATCTTCAAGTTCCAGTTTAAAGGATTGTCTTAATTATGGTTTCTATTGCTTTGAAGAGACATCGTGACTATGGCAACTCTTATAAAAAAGAACGTTTAATTATTGGAACTTGCTTATAGTTTCAGGGGTTTGGTTCATTGTCATCATTTTAGGATGTGGCCTTGTGCAGGCAGACATGATGCTGGAGAAGGAGCTGAGAGTCCTGCATCTTGATGCGAAGGCAGCAGAAGCAACTGTGCCACGCTGGGTGTAGCTTGAGCATAGAAGACCTCAGAGCCCGCCCCACAGTGACACACACCTCCAGTCCTGCCACTCCCTAGAGGCCCACTCTCTTTCAAACCACAGGTGTGAGCTTTTCTAAGTCTGGAAGCCAGTGATCCTCCTGAAATGTGGCAGGAAAGCTGCAGGGGAAGTTCAGGACAGGTCAAAGGCCTCCAGGTAGAGAGATGGGCTTGGGAAGGAGATAGGCCAGGGTCATGGCTCTGAAACCGCCTGTTGTGTAGCTGTGTACATCACAGGCCTTATGGTGTCCCTTGACAAGCACACCAGCCGGTCTTTTGTCCCCTTTCTTCTTAAAAGGTAACTGAAGTTTGTGGAACCTTGTTTCCTGACTCTTCTCAAGGGGTTACTGTTTGCACCTGTGTACTCGGCACAGTAATTTCTTATATGGACTTGCTAACCCGATTCTTTGCTATCGTTCTGTTCACTGTTTTCAGGAATAAATAAAATAGAAGAACACCATTTGGAATAGTAACATTTTCAGCCACCCTCTCTAGTCCTTTTGCTTCAGTCACTTCATTTCATTTGAGATCACAGGTGTTTATAATTATGAATGCTAAGTTTTGTTTTTTTGCTGTTTTTATGTTGTGAGGTTAAAACTGAATTAATAGTACACCCCTTTCCCCCTCCTGAGGCTATGTCTACATAATCTTTTTTGTTTGTTCAAATGAAACAGTGCATTAAGTATGGAATTAGATTAATGAAGTAAATATTATGAATCATACACTCTAATCTGGTACTCATTCTTATTTTTCTGACCCCATGTTTTGTTTTCTGTCTTTCTTTCTCTTTTCCTATAGGTTGTCAGTTCAGTGTAAAGCTATTGGAGTGAGGGAGCAAAGGTAAAGGATGATGTAATGCCCTGGCTGCCCCAAAGCATCTTTTGTTGTGGATGGTTATTCCCGTCATCTCTCTATGAATCAAATGTGAGGGGCTGCTTTGTGGAAGGAGGCCTTTGCAAGAGCACATCAACAGGAAAGAGAAAGAGACATTCAGTTGGAGGGCTCTTGCTGAGATGGGTTTAACTCTCCTTTTGCCAGTCACCACTAGCCTGACCTCATACATTTGAGTACAATGGAGTGGCTGAGCCTTTGAGCACACCACCATTACATCAGCTTGGCAAATTAAAGAACGAGGTGGGAAAAGAGGACTTATTGTTGTCATGGCCCATGAGATGATTGGAACTCAAATTGTTACTGAGAGGTTGGTGGCTCTGCTGGAAAGTGGGACGGAGAAAGTGCTGCTAATTGATAGCCGGCCATTTGTGGAATACAATACATCCCACATTCTGGAAGCCATTAATATCAACTGCTCCAAGCTGATGAAGCGAAGGTTGCAGCAGGACAAAGTATTAATTACAGAACTTATCCAGCACTCTGCAAAGCATAAGGTAAATTCTTTTATAACTTTTTAAAGTGGACATACCGAGGAAATATTTTTAATTGAGGCTTCATTTTAAAGTATAGAAAGTTACTTGAGGAAATTTTGGTTGTTTTTGGGTTTTGGCCATCTTACAATACTTAAAAATACATTAACAGTCATATTATTATCACATTAAGAATATTTTAAACTAAGTCAGGCAATTGTAGCTTATACCTATCTGTAATCCTAATGTGATGGGTTGATGGGGAGGATTGCCACAAGTTCAAAGCAAGCCTGAGCTTCATAGCAAGATCCTGTCTCAAAAATGTCAGGACAAGGAAAAATACATTTTAAGCTATGCATAATAGTTAACTTACTGTAATTTGGATACATACTGTGTTTATGTATTAATGTCTTGATAAAATTGTCTTACCAATTTAAACAATATTTTCTTTTTTCTCCAAATCCACTGAAAGTTCTTCTTTTCAAGTGCTTTGAAAGTAAGAATTAATTATTAGAAGTGGAAGTAATATTTATATGTGGTAATATTGGTTAAGATATTTTGTTCAAGAAATAATTATTTTGGGGTATATGTGCATATGTTGGGGAAGGAGGTTTTCTTCCCAATCCCCTTTTGTTTTTCTGAGACGAGTCTTATATGGCATAGGTTGTTCTAAAAGTTGCTATATAGCTGAAGATGGCCTTGAACTCCTGATAAGTGCATCTTTAAATAAATAGGTTTTTTCTTGTTACATAGGAATCGTGTGCACACGTGCACATGCATATGTGAACACCAGAGGAAAACCTTGGGTATTATCCTCAGAAATATAATCTACCTCCTTTGAGATGAGGCCATACACACACAGAGCTCAAATTTTTATATGGGTGCTGAGGACTGAACTCAGATAGTCAGTCTCCTGTAGGAATTATTTTAATAAATGTTCTTTAGGTGAATGATTGTTATTTTTATTTTGCAAACTATATTGTTCGTCAACTTTACCCTTTTATCAAGTTTCCAGCACAGCATAAAAGTAGCATCAATTTTGCCTTTGAAGAAATTTTTTACAAACACTTAACCACTTCTGTGCTAATTTTATTCAGTAAATAGATTGAATCTAATTTTTATTCATTATTAATTGAAAATAAGCCATTAGTTGTTTCAAACCAGTAAAATGTGAGTTCCTACAAAGCCAGTAGCTTGTTAGATTATTTTTCTCAAACCATTCCCCAACCCAAACCCTTTTTGAGACAGGGTTACAAGTAGTCCAAACTGGCTCTAAATTTGTTGGGTAAGTGTGACCTTGACTCCCGATTCCTCCCCTTCTGCCTCCCAGCTTCGGGAACTGCAGGTGTGCACTGCCAGGCCCAGCTCTTCCTTTCTTAACCAGCCTCGCATCTGCATTCTAGGTTGACATCGATTGCAACCAGAAGGTGGTAGTTTATGATCAGAGTTCCCGAGATGTTGCTTCTCTGTCGTCAGACTGCTTTCTCACTGTACTTCTGGGTAAACTGGAGAAGAGCTTCGACTCTGTTCACCTGCTTGCGGGTGAGTCTGGGACACAGTGGAAAGGACTTGGGTGATTTTGTGATTTTTGTATGAAAACAGTATCACAACTGGTATGTAAAGTGAATTGCAGCTGTGATTAATGGTTCCATTGATTAGTAGTTCCATTGATTTTTGAATACTGTTATTCCTCCGCTAAGTTAGTCAGTGGTGTTTTGCTTTGTTTTTTGATTTTTTTTTTTTTTTTTTTTTAGGCAGGGTATCGCTGTGTAGTGCAGGCTACCCTCTAGTTTGAAGCAGTCCGCTTCCTCAGCTTCCCTAGTACTGGAATTACAGGTGTGAGCCATCACACCTAGCTTGGTCAGTGTAATATGACCTGGCTAAAATGCCTCTTGGTATTTTCTTAGCTGGAAATAGCACATATGGCTAGCTCAGAGCCACTTGCTTTGTCTGATGATTTTCTGTACCTGCTGTGTAAGAACACTGAGTGATTGACATCTCAGCTCTTAGGAATTCTTACCCTGTGGCTAGGGCCAGACCAGCATTACAGTGTCAGACTCTTACTGTAAATACTTGAAAGAGACTCCAGAGGTAAGCTCACCTTGGGCATATGAACAATAAAATAAGGAACAAATTATGCAGACTGTTTCTTCTAATTATTATTTGTGTGTGATATTTGTTTGTTTTTTTACGCTTGGAAAAAAGTTCCATTATACTATTATATTTGCTAAACAAGTGGGTAATTTTGTAGGGTACATGGAAAGGACTGCCCTTTCTGAGGAGGAGGGCAGCAAGTGCACCTCAGGGAGTCAGGCTCTACTACCCTTGGCTTACCTGTTGGAGGCTGGCTTTCCCTGGGGTGGCTGACCAGTGCATAGGACCTTAACATAGAGCAGCCACCACACAGCCCTGATACCCAAGAGTGCCTTTTTTTTTTTTTTTTTGGTGGCCTAAGAAAAGCTATTTATTGATAGGTGTTGTCTTTTTCCACCTTTGGTGTTTATTGGAAGATGGATGCAGTGAGCTTGATTAGTTATTAGTAATTAGTTATTAGAAATATATCAGTTTCAAGATTGGTCATTTGTTGGTGTGTAAATAGATTTTAAGTATTAATATTGTGAAACTCATGCAGACTTAGGTAAAATCTCCAGGTCTGTCATACATTTTTGCTTCAATTCTCTAGTTGCAAGGATAGCTTTTGTTTTGTTTTGTTTGCCTTTTGCCCCTCAGGTATCTCTAACCACATCTTATATCTAGGCTGTGATTCCCTTTGGTCTCTCTGTATGGTCGTTACAGAATTCTGTGACTACAGATTTATTGTATTTTTCCTATCTGTTGATAGATGCACGTAATGATAAACAGATGTTCTAGCACTGAGCTAATCAACAACCCCCCCCTCACACATCCCATACCTATATATAAAGGTATATAAGTGGGTTAGATATAACAACTCTTTGAGCTCAACTAAGGGTAACTTTGGTTCTCATTTCAAGTTTTTGTAGCCACTGATAGTTTACTTCAGAGTGCTATTAGTGAGTTTAAAGCTTGTGACCTCACTGCACTAACCATAAAATAGAGGGGATCACTCATGTTGGATAAGCACATACCCCTAGTCCTGGTCTTTAAAGAGTTTGTCTGTCAGGATGTCCCACCCTGCTTTTTTGAAACATTTTCCCTGTGGGGAGCTTTGACCTGGCAGCTTGGTCAACAGACAGCCATTCTGTGTATGTTCACAGTGAGCTTCCGTAGATGTCTTATAGTTCTTTGTTTTGTGAAAAGGTTATCAATTGTGTTCCTTCGGGAGAGGCACTCACTGGTCTATGAGGAAGAATAAGGGTTCAGTCTGACCAGTGGGACCAAATCTTAGGACACTGAATCCGAACACCTCATGCCCATTTCATTTGAGCAATGTTTCCTGGATGAGTGGGGTGCTAAGTTAATGGGAGGAGTATCAGGTAAGGTGGGTTTGGAAGTGACTGAAGGTAGAGCAAGAGGGGTGAGCTGCTCTGTGCTGTACTGGACCCAGGGCTCACCCCTGCTGTTTTGCTCTACACAAGTAAAATCCAAGCTTGTGAGGAAGGGAGAGATGGGCTGTACCACAATACAAACCAGCCACTGCCAGCGTTTGACAATACCCTTGACATAAATCATAGCTATTGGCAGAAGGAAGGGCTAGAAGAGGAAAACCAAGGCAGGAGGAGAAACACAAAAGAGTGGCTTTGGAGGGGCCGGGGCCTTCTGATAGCTGTAGCTTGGGGCCAAGGCTAGCACTGCTTCCTAGGTGTCGGGCATCTACGGACACATTCCATGAAGCTGAGAGAAATGGGCTATGTTTTTTACTCTGCTGTTCGTGCCTGATCATCTTTAGAAGCATCTTTTAACTGGAGTTAAATGTTTTGTTTTCTTCTTTCCCAGCCATTAAAATACAGATGTTCCATTTACTCTGAGAATGTTTTTATGTGTGTGTGAAAATCAGTACGTGTGGAATTTGTTTCAGTAGTCCTTTTGAAGACTACCATTATGAACAAAAGACAAAAACAGTCAGTTTCTAACTGACTTATGAATAAACTGTTTTGGTTTTGTTAACCTCAAGAAAAATTTAAAAACAAACTTGTTTCATGGCTTTTAATTACCCACTGTCGATCATTTTATCATCTTAGTCTTTTTGTCCATTCCCTTATCTAAGAGTGTTAGATTTATTTCACAGAACTGAAATAAATATAGGAGAAAAGCCCTTTAACTCAGGTGCTCATTTTATCCTAACATAGAAAAGATGCAGAAGTGTATTAATTTGATATCAAGTAGGTTAAAAGATAATCTACAGATAGACAGCACTATTCTGTTAACTTCTCTTTTCCTGTTTATTTTATTTTAGTTTTTTGATTTTAGTCTTGAGACACACCCACACCTCATGATCCTCCTGCCCTCAACTTCTGCCTCTTTATCATATTCTACTAACATGTGCTACCACAACTTATGCTCATTCTTCTTAGCTTCCTGAGTGTTGGAATTGTGAGTGGATGTAGCCATCCTGTCTCTTTTCCCACTGAGTAACTGCAGAAGGGCAGCTTTGGGTGTGGTGCAGAGGTAGAGAACGTTTAACATGTAGGATTCTGGACTCACTCTCATCATCCCCTCGCTTCTAGAAGGAAAGGTGGAAGAAGGAAGGACAGGTCCACATACTCAGTCTTTCCTTTTCTATTCCATGTTCATAAAAATCAAATACAGGGCAAATGCTGTGCCCTTAGCCGTATGCCCAGCTCATATCTTTCTGGTGATGAGTGGCGGGATAACTATATAGCATACGAAACTCACAGATGAATCAGACTTTGGCTCTTTCTCATTCAGTGACTCAGCTCTTGCAATTCTCACCATGCGCCTATGGCTTATACCTACAAGTATTTGCAGGATCTGTAAAATTTTCATAAGCCTAGATTAGATTGGGAATCAAGACTAATTTCTTTATAGCTTTCTTTTTTTCTTTTTTTTCAGGCCTTTCTATGTAGTTCAGCTGTCCTGGAATAGTTATATACCAGGCTGATATACCAGGCTGACCTCAGATGCATACAGATGGTCCTGCCTTTCTTTGCCTCCCAATACTGGGGCATGAACCACCATGCCCAGCCTAGGATGATTCTTCTCCTCTTCCTCCTCCGTCTTCTTTCTTCCTCTTCCTCCTCTTTTTTTTATTTATATATTTTATTTCACATGCATTGGTGTTTTTTCTGCATGTATGTTTGTATGATGGTGTGTCAGATCTGTTAGAACTGTACAGCTGTGATCTGCCATGTGGGTCCTGGGTATTGAACCCAAGTCCTCTGGAAGAACAGCCAGTGCTTTTAACCACTGAGCAATCTTTCCAGCTCAGGATGCTTTTCTCTAAAGATCTCTTTAGTAACTCTTTCAGACTGTTATGTATTTTAGAGTCATAATCTTCACACTTTACTGAATGAAACAATGTATAAGAATTAGTGTATATAAAAAACTTCAGAGCATTAAATTATCTTAGCCAGTGAGGGGCTCATCAAATGAAAGTGTAACTGTTTCATCCTATGCTGAACCATAGATCTGAGTAATTATAGAAGACATCATTATTCAGTATTTCATGGGATATAGTGCTGGATTAAAGGACAAATACTTTCTCTTTTTTAGGAAGTTTTGTCTAGTGTAGATTGAAGTGAACAAATAATGTATATTGAGTCTATGTATTTTAAACAGGGGTCTAGAATGATAGCTTCAGTAATAAATATTAAGCTTCTGTTTTACAGAATTAATTACTGAACTTCCCAAGGAAAGCATAATAGAACTCAATTTTTCTAGTTACAGATTTTTTGCTTGTATTATTATTATTAATTCTGTTATCTAGTTTGATACCTCTTCCCCTTTGGAAATGAAATAACATTTTAAGTCATTCCATACCAAAACTTGTAGCATCTGGTAAAAGATTAAAATAAATATATTTAAGTAAAAATACTCTAGATACTCAGAATCGCTTTTTGTCAAAAACAAACAAACAAAAAAACAAAAAACTAGTCACTGAGAGTCACTAAAAATAGGTGTTTATATTTACACATACAATAGAATTATTTAGCCTTATAAAGCAAAGGGCTGGGGGTTTCCAGTTCATGGTAGAATATTTGCCTAACATAAATGATGCTCTGAGTTCAGTCTCAGTACTGGAGGGGGGGGGAGCATGCAGTTTTCTATAACCTGAACCAGGAAAGAATTATGCTGAGTGAGGTCAGCCAGGTACAGAAAGATAAATGCTAGCTCAGTCTCACTTACATAGAGTCTAGAAGTAATTGTAACAGAGAATTGAGCCCAGATGTGGCCATCACACCACTTGAGAAGAGGAAGCAGAAGCATCGGGGGTTTAGGGTGATCCATCCTGGCCTATATCAGACCTTGTTTCAAAAAACCAAAAATTAATAATCAAACCAAAAAGGAAAGAGTTGAATGGGTGGGTGGTCGGAGTGATAGGGCTGATAGTGATTAAAGGATACAGACCTTTTGAGTTATTAGTTGAAAGGTTTGTAGAGATT